CCTAATAAATAGCTGTTATTTTATCCTTTAAAAAAGTCTTCTTCAATGATGTTAGTGGTTGAAAGGTTTCAAAATATCTTGGGAGCGGCGAAAATTCGCGGTTCGGTGGTATCCGCGGTTCGGTGGTATCCGCGGTTCGGTGGTTGATTACGTTATTAGAATATAATAGGTTAGCTAGTTAGAAGCATATATCATTTTAAACCATTAAAAAATATTAAGATTTGACTAGTTTAGGGGGGGGGTACTGGGTTACCCTCTGTACCCCCCCCCCCCTGCTAACCAATCGCCTTGGTTGAGAGGAGGTTTATAGACACGGGGATCCTAAGGTGCCAAATAATGTATGGTCGCTATAGGGGTTCTTGCCTTATCTATAATTTATGATGGGCTTCTTCGCGCTGTGGAATATCCTGCTTAACATGCCTGATCAGTATTAGATTTCAACTTGATGTTCATCTTACTGTGGAGCACCTATCTGTCATGCCATAGTATACAGGGCAAGCAGAATATACCCAGAGTAAGGCATATAACTTCACAGAGTTTATTTTGAAGAGATTAGGCACAGTGTGGAAGGAGCTGAAAGCAACTTAGGTGTCTAAGACAAGTCCATTAAGGATCCAATGCAAAATGAGGGACTGGGACGGAATCTACAGAGATTTAACTTCAGAAACACGGCGATACAACGCAAAGAACCTGTATTAATTGAATGTTGGACAGCTTTTAATTATGAGACAGAATCACAAAGACAAAGGAACACCAAGTCGCAGAGACACCAGAATCGCGAGACATCAGGATCAAGAGATAAAGGAAACTAAGACATCAGAATCGCAAAGGCAAAGGAACACCAAGTTGTAGAGACACCAGAATTGTAAGACAAGGGAAAACATCATGTCGCGAAGACATCACTACGAAGGAATATATAAGACTTGAGATAACCCAGCCAGAGTATGTTTATATCACAAAACAGCCAGGCTTACCCTCTTGGTTAATCCTTACTGGACTTGAGCACTATAATGTCTCAACTACCTCCTGAAGTCCACTTTGAGGTGCTGGATCACCTCCTTTGGGCTCAGCAGCCACTATTACATTCAAATCTTTGTGCGGCTCGGAAGTATGCGTTCTCGAGCATAGATCATGCCCGAATTATGACTGAGTATTTCCGACACGAAAGGAACAAAAGACGCCTCCTCGACATACCGAACCAATCTCAAATCTGGGACGGCTGGCTTGATGCTAACCGATATGCACAAACACCTACTGCAGCTCTGGGGACAGGGCCAGAACCTGATGTACTTACTGGGGTTATCTATAGTAATTGCATCCCATGCTTTCATCTCCTTCGCGATCATATCCACTTCCCATTTGATCGCTACAATGATTTTGGATATTCATTCCTGGGGCTCGCCCTCCTGCTTGGCCACCATGAGATAGCACGGGGTATTGCCAACCGTATTAATAACCAGGGACATATTACCGGCAGGGCAAACGTCAAACTTACAGGAGGTCAAGGACAGAAGATCATCACACTTGCCGCGCAAACAGGCGATAGATTGATCTTCGAACCTATTCTGGACCAGATCCAACCAGATCTGGTGGATTACTACATCCGTCTAACTGTTGGGAAGCATGAGCGAGCTCATCTCTGCCGGGATTCCACAGTTGCCCTTGCACACCAACTCCTTGAAGATAGGTGTAACATTGCTGATGGAGTTGACAGCAATAGTCAAGATACCTCATGGCACTATGGGGTGGAAAATCCACATGGCACAGAATTCATGAAGTTCCTTTTCTGCAATCGGACACCCCAGGTTCGCCTAGACCAACCAAACGCCAATGGTGAAACCCCACTCATGAAAGCTGTGCGCTCCGGGAGCCTGGATATAGTGAGATGGCTGATCGATATCTGTGCTGATGTTGAATATGAAGGAGCCCGCGGGACTACTGCAGCGCACCTGGCTGCAGAGCTTCAAATTAATGAGAGTATTACAATGCTGGAGATACTACTCCCTCATGCCCAGATTAACTCTGGTCATCAAACAGCAGCAGGGACGATTTTCCATGCCTTGGTAGATGGGGTGCGAAGTGCAGAAGGGGAACTATCAAATAATACCACCCTTGGACATAGTGCACGCATACAGCTCCATCAGCAGTGCTATGACCGTGTTGACAAGAAGTACAGAGTGCTCAGAAGATATGGTATAGACCAGACTCTGACCAATGCCGCAAATCACACGGCGGCACAGTATGCATTGAGTTTTGGCCTAGGGGATCTGGCAACGTACATCAACAGGGAGCCAGAATGCGCCTAGAGTCGCCCTGGTTGCTTTAATATCCATCCAGTTTGTCTAGTTCATCTAGTTCATGCTGTTTGTCTGTTCATGTCGTTCGTCCAGTTCGTCCAGTTCGTCCATTTTATTTAGCTTCTACCTGTGCTACGTGTGCCCTCTGTTTTGTACTATTTATGCTGTTTATGCTATCTGGGGCGTAGTAGATAATCATTCTTGTGAAATATTACCGTTAATCTAATAATATATATGATAGAGCAGCCCTGTTTCCAGTCCAACATGATGTGGCCCTTGTGATGACCCTGCGCGCAACACCGCGCTTAACTCTGTAGTCTCTGATATAGTCTCCCTTTGCACGTAGTTAGCTGCACTAGGAAGGGAAGGGCTCAGGGCTCAGGGCTAGGGTTAGTGGAGGTCTCATACCACCCACCACCACCTTCAGTCCTCTCACCTTCTCCCTTCCCTCTCCACCTTTGTTCTTCTCGTGATAGGACTCAAATAAGAATCGATTACATTCATCCTTTCTATCTGATCTGCCGATCATCACAGCCCTATGGTTCCATCCTCTGCTAAGCACGGGTGATAGACCGGATCTCCTTGTCTCCAAGATAGACTAGCAACTAATGAACTCAAAATAGGTAGCTGTACTTATTTAGGGCCTGAGCATTGCAAGTAGTTATGCTTTCCTTCCGCTCTCTCATACTTAAGATATCATGGTCGTCATAGAGATGACTCAGGAGTTTACGTTTGGAGGTTCGGATCACAGCGCACCCGGGGATCGCGCAGGCCCATGCGTTCAGTATAGGCAGCTCTGGGAAGGGGGCAACAGGCTGTGTAATCTAAAGCACAGGGTGGATATCCTGCAGATTATGTAGGTCCAGAGTGTTAAGGAGCATCACCTCATGCGCTGGGGTGATGCCAAGCGTGCAATGGGCCTGGAGGTGATCCTGGGCAGAGGTCCGCGTCACTGCTCGGTGGCACCGACTGCAGAGCAGTAGATGCCACCGCGGGTAGAAACGGAAGAAATCCCACGGGAGCAATTGGCGCCGGTGGACCCCCTGCTGCGGTGTGTGGTCCGGCAGCATGGGCGGCTGCTCAGGCCCAGGACTGGACATGGATGGCGATCCAGAGACTGGGGCCGGGCGTGGATCCTCCACCGGTGCCAGGATGAACTGGTGCCACTGATGGGAGGCATATTGATATAGATGCAGCATTTCCGGCAGGGGCTGAAGGGGCTGAAGGGGCTGGGACTCCTCCACACCGTAGATGTGGCGGTTGACGGATCCACTGTGGCCGGCCTGGGCCGCAAAGATGCTATCCAAGTTCTCCGCGGCAGAGCGCAGGTCCACCACTGTTGCCTTTGCCTTCAGATGCTTCTTGGTGATTGCAATAAGTAGATGGCGGTAGGTCAGAGCTTTCAAGGTGAAGTGACCAAAGAACTCCCGGCTGCTCTGCTGTAGCAGCCGCCCATACGGCCCACGTCTTGCATTGCTTGGGGATTTGAATCCTGGTGCGGTGAAGAGATCGCAGGAGCTGAGTGCCTTGCGTAACTGTGTGGGGGCGATCCACTATGTTCCGCAGCTCGGCCGGGTTATGTGCCTCCCACCGTGCCTGCTGACGGTGTCGGGGGCTGTGCTCCTGAGCCACAGGGACCAGCGTTGCCATGAATGGGCGCACATGCAGCAGATACAGGAGCACTAGCCGGCTGACTGATGGGGGAAGGAATCGGGCGCAGATGTGTTGCCGCGCTGTGCGGCCCCAGGCTTCATGATCATGTGTGATGATCACCATCTCCCCCTCATGGATGTACAGATTCCGTGGGGCAGCGGCGGTCTTCCGCCATTTCACTGTCATAAGCTCACTGCCCCGACTGGGCTGCCCCCAGGAGAGCTGGATGGCAAGCATGAGCTGGTGCAGGAACATCCGCACGGATTGCTGATAGCGCCGGACGGATGGTGGGTCCCACTGCCCGTGGCGGCGCAGCGGGGCCACACCCGCAGGGGGGTTCTCCGTCAGGCCCAGGATTGGTGCCGCTGTGGCCCGGAGCCGGTTGACGGGCACGTCCAGGAAGGAGAACCCGCTTCGACACTCCACTGGGTTGTCTACCAGCGATCGCACATCCACCGGGGACCGGTGGCCGAGAAGGAGGTTGTGCTCCAGCAGGGTTGTGGCTGATTCAATGACCTGCTGGACCCATTGGCGCAGCCGGGCGAGAGGCAGCCCGCTGTCCGGCAGCTGATGATGGTAGACCGTCTGCAAATCAGGAGACCATTAGATGGTCCCCAGGCGTGGCTCGTTGCGGATGATGCTCATGCCCACCACTAACATGGCAAGGATATCATTTAGGGGGAAGAATGTGTCCCAGGCGCCGTAGATCCCCTGGATCTCCTGGGCACGTCTGACGTGGAAGCGGTATGAGTCCCGGCTCGGGACATCACTAATAAAGCGGTAGCGGCGGATTGGCAATGCATATTCCAGCAGGAGAAGCCGGGCAACCCAGGCGATACCAGCTAGCTTTGTGGTGTAGTAGTATGGTTCATAGAAACTGCAATTTTGGGGCCGGATCCCCAGCACCGCGGCAAAGGCCACCAGGGAGGAGTAAAACTTGTCCCCACACCGGTAGATAGCATCGGTCGTCAGGCAACTGATGCAGAGGGAGACGAGTACCTCGCTGATCCATTCCTCAGCGGCCGCCGGTAAGGCTGGGAACTGACCAGGGAGGGGATGCTCAGGGGCGGCCTCCCCCCAGCAAGGGTCGGATCTGCTATCTAGTTCTTCAGAACCTCGCAGTGGCTCATCGGGGTCTAGGGAGGACCCGTCCTCGTCCTCATCCTCGTCCTCATCCTCCTCCTCATCATCCACCATGTTATCTTCTAGCTCCTCCGCCGCCTCCTGCTCATCGTCCTCCGTATCACTCCCATGGCTGTCAGAATAGACACTCCCTGTCTCATCCGTGGTGGCCTCTGCGACCTCGGTGCTGGAATTGTCGCTATTGATTCCGGGGGAGCTATGCAACACAACAGGGTCCGAATCTGATTTGGGGACACTGGAGGTCCATGTGGAATCCGGGGCGGGGGATTGGATGCTTGAGTAGATGGGGATACAGACCGCCACAGCTCTCTGGAGGACCGGTGGCTCCGCCCTGAGGGGACAGTCTAACCGGGGTTGTTTGCAGTTGCGTTGCTGGCGGGCCGGGCGACTGGAGTGCAGGCTCAGAGAGTTATCAGACTCATGACTGCAGGACCGGTGGCGCTGCATGGAGCGGGGGCGCTTAGTATACCGCCGCGAGGACCCCAGGGATGGTGGGTGGGCCTCAGGTTGAGGAGTGGTTGTGGCCTCGCGGGATTCGCACGGCGGTTGTCCCTGCTCACTACCTGTGTTCAGTCGATCGGCTAGCCGTCGTCGCCGGCCAGGGAGCTGAAGCTGGGCCTGGAAGGGATTGTCATCGTCCGTCCAGACGTCCAGGTCGGGGCATTCCAGATAGCGGTTGAGAGTCCCCCACAGGATTTCAAGCGTGCGCTCTTGCTCCTTATCCAGATGGACCCCGAGTAGACGTTTCCGATCCTCGCGCGAGAGGCAAATGGCCCGGATGAGGAAGCACAGAAACTGTTTCCAGTACCGCACGTACCGCCGCTCCGTTTCCGGCTGCAGCCGTCCCAGGGGTCGTTTCCGCGTCCGCTGACCGGGCATTCGGCAGCCGAAGATCTCCCGGATCGATGTCTGGGTCCGCTCCAGCGTCGCCCGGGCCCGGTCGAGGACCCGGTCCATCCCCCGGCAGATGAGGGTGAGAATGTGGTTGTGTCGGTGCTGCATCTCCAGCTCTTCTGTGGTGGCGGGCGGCGATCCACCACCACCACCTTACTGTGCCTGCAGCGCAGGCAGGACCTGTAGGGTATCCGGGGTCCCCACCGCGCGGACCAGGCCGAGCAGCGAGCGCTGGTGAAAGTATCGGGGCCATTCGGTGAACATCAGCCACGGGGTGGTATCGTCCTGCTGTTGGCGTCGGGCGTCATGGATGAAGACGGAGTCCTCCGCGGTAGCCGGATCCGTGGACCCCTCTGGACTGGCCACCGGCTGGAGCCCACACTGCTCCGCCTGGAGGATCTGACGCTCCTGGGTGAGGGCATTCTGCACCCATTCCGGAGTGGTGGACACCAGGAAGGTGGTCATGAGGCTTGCCATCGACGGGGTGGATGGTGGGGGGCATTCCGGCGCGATGGTTGCTGATGGATCCCACTGGCTGGGCTCCGCGCCCCCATGGCTGCTCGCCATCGGACCTTCTGGCTCCCGGCGAGGCACAGGAGGAGTTGCTGGGCGCTCCCGCGCTAGGGGAGACGCGGGAGCTATCCGTGGACTGTCTGGATCATTCGCAATCCGTCCTTCTTCACTGGTCTGGGCCGGCCCCTCCCCGTCCCCCTCATCC